CACAGGAATCGGCCCGTGTATGCATTCTTTACCCCTTGCACCTGACACTTTTAATCAATTTTTTTTTTTACATAAAAAATTGTATTTTAAGTCTCTGTTATCCATACTACTATCTATGTTGCCTAGCAACATAAATTAATTACAAATTGACTCGTGTTTGAGAATTACTGAAAACTCATTAACCTCATTGCCCTCCACTTTGCTCAACATTTTATTGGCACTTTGTGTTTGAGAGAAATTTTACCATTTTCGTACTCAGAAACTGTTAACAATGGATAGCATGCGAAGGAGGTATTTTGAATGTGAAATCGATCTTGATTTTTCCTTAGTTTCCAAAATAGTAATAAAATGTTCGTGCTTTGAGCCACTGACATGTGTTTTTGTGATGAAGGCTTCTCATTCTCGCTCGGTTAGGATTATGAAGCCAGCTGATTCATATTTTTGTTTTGATTACTCTTCAAACTCTTATGCATGTATAAAAAAAAAATGTAAAAAACAAAACCATATTAATTTGAGTCACTTGTTTCTAACCGGAAAGAAATATAATTTTTCAATATAGGAAGAATGAAATATTCATAAGGAACTGTATTTTGAAGCCACAATTCATTATTCTTATATACATTATATTATTTATTAATTTCGACAAGGAAATGTGACACGAATAATACATATATTGGCGATTACTGTATTTAATCTATTAGCATGCTCATCTGTAAAATCGTTGTTGGCTGGAGTACTTGCATTGTGTGCAATTAATCTGTTTTTTTGTATACCAATTTAAATTCTCATCTGTTTTATAAATTCTTTTTGACATACATTTTTTGGCTTCAAATTGAAAAATATATGTTGTGAAAATTAGATTTGTTCAGAAAAGAAATATTTTGAGAAACTTTTTAATCAAAGCCTAATAAAATCCATCAACACAAAAGACGCTGACCAATCGTAGTCATGTCCCACTTGTCACTGTACTCAATTTTATTTTATTGATGTAGAGATGCATTAATAAAATAAATGCTTCAAACTCAACAAATAGAAGAATTACTTTAATTTCTTGCTAATAATTTTCATCTCTACTCTAATAATACTCGCATATATATTAATTTTTCCACCAAAAACAATTTGGTTTATACTATTTCCAGTTCGACACATGATCATAAGAAAAAGAAAATAGTTCAAACTACAAATTAGTTCATTGTCAAAAAGTTTTTTTTGCTCTTCATTTTTATGCATATTTTTTTGAAATTTTTTTTCCAAATTATTATTAAAAACAATATTTAAATTTTTTTTTTTAAAATGTGTATATGAAATACAGCTACAACTTTTTTTCTAAAATTATTTATATAGTGGGAATTATTTTTGGCCGGAAAAAAATGTACTAACATTGTGTGCTGTTTAATAATGGCTGTACTAACTTCATACTCATTCTAACATCCTCTCATTCCTTTATGCTTTTCCTTAGATATTTTCCTCTTCCTTCTGTCCGCAGCAGCCAGGTAGATTATCCTTCTGCTACCATGGCAACCACAACTGTTGCCCTTCCTCCTTTCACCAGGGCGCTGCATAACGACATCCGACCGAGTGCAAAGATACAGCAAGTCAAGCGCAGTAAGAAGAAGCAAAGCAAGTTACAGAAAGTTTGCGGTTTCTGTCATTGGAAGTGTCTGGCAGTGGTGTTCATGTTTATTACATTACTTCTTGCAGCAACAGTCGCCTACTTTATAGGTAAGTTTAATTTATATCATTTGTTGTGGAGGTGCAAATGTTTTTTACAAGTCTACTTGCATTATTACGAATTATTGTCTTTATTACGAATTATTGTAAACTGCCTTAATTTCACTAAAAAAATTGTCATTGAAAATCACACAAGTGAAACTTCACTCAACCACACTCTTGTATCAACATTGCCACCCTTGCATACCCAATGCAAACATTGCTTGCCAAATTCCACCATTGTATTTCCAAAGTCACCCTTGTATTCCCAATGCCACCCTTGCATACCCAATGCAAACATTGCTTGCCAAATGCCACCCTTGTATTTCCAATTCACCCTTGTATTCCCAATACCACTCTCATATATCCAATGCCAATCACAATGCCACCTGTGTATGCCCAATGCACCCATGTATACCCAATGTCATCCTTGTATGCCCAGTGCACCCATGTATACCCAATGCCATCCTTGTATGCCCAGTGCTACTTGTAAATACCCAAATGTCACTCTCATCTTCCCCATACCATCTTTGTATTCAAATTTTCACCTATGTATACCCAATGCTATCCTTATATGCCCAGTGCCACTGGTAAATACCCAAATGTCACTCTTGTCTTCCAAATGCCATCCTTGTATTTCCAATGTTACCCATGTATACCCAATGCTATCCCTATATGCCCAGTGCCACTGGTAAATACCCAAATGTCACTCTCGTCTTCCAAATGCCATCCTTGTATTTCCAATGTCACCCATGTATACCCAATGCTATCCTTGTATGCCCAGTGCCACTGGTAAATACCCATATGTCACTCTCGTCTTCCAAATGCCATCCTTGTATTTC